TCTTGTTAAATTTTTCCTACTCTTAAAAAAAAAGTGTATCAGTACTTGCTTGGATTCTGAAGCTATGATTTTTAGATTTTATACTTCCTACTTAGGCTGTATGAACCCCGACCATAGCTATTAAAGTGATCTCTTAAAAATGCTAAGAGCTGCAGAATAGCTGTTTGTTTGATGGAGCATTCTCTTCCATAGAAGTTAAAACAACATTCTTGTTCATTTCCTTCATTATTTAAAAAGTTTGGTTGTGATTCTCTAGGAAATTATTTGTTCTACAGAATTTAAGACTGATAAAAAATCTCCATGAGAAGAAATTCTATAGCTATGAAATGCTCTGTCTCTGACACAGTTTAAGTCTGGAGGCATTTGGAGTGTAAAGTAAGAGTCTGCGATTTTATTGGCTATGTGGGGTGTTTAGTATCTTGGCAGGCATGTTATGTATGTTGAATATTTCCCATGGATGCTTTCTTTTTGTGTAATCTTTTAGGGCCTCCAGCAAAACAAATTAAATATCCCCTTTTTCATGTTTTGATTATACACCTTTAAGAGGAAAGTGTTTGGGACCTATATTTTACACTTAATAGACTAAATTCTAGGTTTTTATTTTTCCTGTTATAAACCATCAAGTTTATCATTTCCTTTGAGGATAGGGATTATCTAGTGTTTGTTTATTTCCACGGAGCTCTGTACAGTGCTCAGAATGAAGTAGAATTTCAAAATAAAAAGAAGACAAGCTCTTTAGATTTTACTCATCCCTAAAAATGTTATAAAAAGTTTCCAGCAAGTCAGTATTATAAAGCTAAATCAAGGAATTGATTTAAATATCTGCTGACCAAAACATGCTATAATATTTTCAAAACATTCTTTTGTGCAACACTTAAATTAAATGCAAAGCATTCTTATTTAATTATATAGAAGTATCCTGCCTTTTTATTTTTAATAAGCTCCTCATATTAGCTTTTAAGAAAAATCTAAATGTTTCCTTCTTTCTGGCCTTTCAGCTGTTCATTGTGATTTTTAATACCAAGAAACTAGCTAGATAAGAAAAATCATAATTCAGGTAAATTCAAGCAAAATTTTGCCTCATACATATTATTTTATTACATCTCCTTTCTTTTTATCCCATCCCCAGGCTGGGATCTTCATCATCCATGCAGTAACCCTGACTGTACAAATCTTCCTCATCTATTAATTCCATTTTTCAGTTCATGTTTCAAATTCCTACTCCATTCATTCCTGTACATCACATTCTAATCTTCTCTTTCTAAAATAAACTCCATGAATTTTACATCCCATAAAAAAGTCTTAAATATGGCTTCTAATAAATGGTGTTGGAAAAACTGGATCTCAACCTGCCAAAGATTAAAACTAGAACCTTATCTTTCACCATGCACTCAACTAAAATCCAAGTGGATTAAAAATCTTAATATTTAAGAGGAGTCACTAAAATTTCTGGAAGATAAGTTAGGCAGAACTCTTGAAGATATTGGCATAGCAAAAGACTTCATGAACAAATCCTCAGTAGCACAGGAATTACCAGAAAGAATCAACAACTGGGATCTCATCTTATTAAAAAGATTCTGCACTGCAAAAGAAACCATCAACAGAACTAAGAGACAACCTACAATGTGGGAAAAACTTTTTACCAGCTGCTCCTCAGACAAAGGACTACTATCGAGAATATATAAAGAACTCAAAACAATCAGCCCCCCAAATATAAAAATCCAATTCAAAAATGGGCATCTGAAAGGAACAGACATTTCCCAGACAAGTAAAAGCAGCAAGTAAATATATGAAAATATATGAAAAAATGTTCCACATCACTGGTCACTCGAGAGATGCAGATGAAAACAACACTGAGATTCCACCTCACCCCACAAAGAATGGCTGCTATGAAGAAATCAACCAATAACAAATTTTGGTGGGGTTGTGAGGAGAAAGGAACCCTTCTCCATTGTTGGTGAGAGTGCAGACTAACAGTCATTTAAAAAAAATTACAATGTGCTACAAACCATGCATTTATGAATGAGGATGCAAAACAAAAATAGGAAGACTAGTCAGGTAGATAATTTTTTTAAATAAAATACATGTGCCGGTATTTTTCTAAAAATTTTTGAGATTGTATAGCATGTTTGGCAATGAGACATAGCTGTAGGATTTTTAGTAAGCAAGGAATTACAGTGATGTGTTTATTTTAGGGACATCATTCAGACATAAAATAGACTTGTATGCAACAAAAGCAGGAATGGGGCAGAGAAGTTGCAGAGTAGCCTATCTCAGTTGGATTCAGGTGAGAAATAATGGGAATAGAGAGAAGGAGATAGCTGTCAGAAGCGGACTTGAAGGCGCCTGATGACTGATTACAGAAGGAGGATGAGGAAACCAAAGTGCACAAAATAACTTTGCAGCTACTAGTTCAGAGGATGTGTATGGTTCTTTACCAGTAACAAAATTACAATTATCTGTGGAAGAAGAGAATTGGTTGGAGGTGGAGAGAGTGGATGATCAGTGATAGAATGTGGTAGGGAAAGCATGCTGAGTTTCCTTTTGTATTTGTGAGTGGCAGAGGGTCCTAGAGAATAGTCAGAGAAATAGTTAAGTGGAAGTATTTAGACAAGATTCTGTATATTATTTTCAAAACTCCTTTAGCACCCAGCACATTATCTTCAGTTTTCAGTAAGTATTTTCTTAAATTGATGAGAACTATCAACAAAGGGATGAATAAATCTACATCCAGGTCCACAAGTAGCACAGTGATATTCATAATCTCCCATATTCCATCCTCTGGACTGCCTCACGAACACCTTGAGATATATAAGGTCAGGTCAAAGTCTCCTTAGCTACTGCAAATATTGTCAAACGAGGCCACATATCTTTACCTAAGCCATAGGAACTATTAACAAAAATAGCCCAGTGAGGTGGTGCACACCTGTTGGCCCAGCAAGTCAGAGGAGGCTGAGCCAGAAGAGCCTCAAGTTTAAGGCAAATGTGGACAATTTAGTGAGACTCTGCTTCATAAGAGAAGATAAAATAGACTGGGAATGTAGTTTATTGGAAGAGTGCCCCTGGACTAGATACCCAATACAGAAAAAAAAGGACTGTTTACACTGACTGCCCTCTAGTTATCCATCTCCATACAAAATCATAACAGAAGAGACAAGAAAAAAAAATTTTTTGTAAGTTGCCCTCAATCCAACCTCCATGTGCCTTGAGCTCTGCTTTTACATATTTTCTTCTCCACCTACTCTCTTCTTATTCTTTTTAAAAATTTCTTTATTTCCTTTTTTCTTCCCTATTTGTTAGTTTTCTTGACTATCATCTTCCTTATTCATCTGATTTCTCTTATAAATTTTGTGGTCATATTGTAAAAATCCATAGAGAGAGGTTAGTGGAAAGATTCAAAAGCAATTTAATTCCATGGAGATAGAAAAAAAACTGTAAATTCAGCATAGTGTTAGAAGACATTTAAGTAAAATGTGTAGTGATGTAACTATTATGGAATCTAAGTGTTTTGTTAATTTTCAAAATACTTTAGTAATGATGATTTTAATTTTCTTGTGGTGGCAACTAGGAACTTTAGTTTTTAACAAGCGTTCAAAGAGAAATGTAGTACTTTATATTCATGTGCAAGCAAGGAAGAAGAATGCATTAAATGTTTCTAATAGGCTCAATGTTCTGATAACCAGTAATAGATGGAATCACTATATTAAATTTGTGCCTAATAAATATCACCTTTCCAAACAGGTATCCACAACTATAACTGGCAAATATTTGAAGTATTTAGGGGAAAATAAATAACTTGATTTATAACTTTTTTAGTAAAGATTTTTTTGGATTAATAAATTTATCCTTAATTTCAGAGGCTGATAAAGGCTAACTTGGCACTGACTAAATCATCATGCTCTTTTAAGCATGTTCAGAGTCTTCTCTCCTCAAGATCTATTGCAAAGTAGAAAACAATCATAACTTGGAGAAGAAAAGCATTTGATTCAAGTTGTATTTCTGCGCAAACTTATATCAAACTTTTCTTAAACAATAAGAATATACTAATTTCAATTTTTTCTTGATAATAAATGATGTGAAATGTTGCCTTTTCTGTTGCTAACAACACAAAAGTAATTTGTTTTATCCATATTCAGTTCCAGGGCTTCCTGTAGCATACTCCAGCTCGACACCACATGGCTGGATTACTCAGGGGAATTTATGTCAGATAAGCAGATCCTTTATCCGAGGCAGCCCCAGCCTAGCGATGTCTAGAACATAGACAAAAGAAGGTGCCAATTAGAATTACTTTTCTGGGTATGCCTGATGAACTGTGGACAGCTGGAAAGTCCTGGAGCATTGTGGCCAGAATAAGTCACCATTCTCGGTGAGCGACCTATCCAACCGAAGTGTACAATAGGTGTGCTATTTGTGTGAGTGATAGCAAAGGTTGACTCACCACATGTAGCTTAGAGGACTGACCTTGTGACTAGGGATTCAGGAGACAGATGAGACAGATGAAAGCTTCTATTATTTCTTTGGCAACTCTTTTTGTTTGTTTTTGGCCCATCATATCTTCCAAATGGGATAAAAAGACAGAAATAGAGAAAAGGTTCATAGTGAAGCTTAGAAAAGAGAAAGGCCTGAAGTAGGGCAAGAGCCTTCCTCCCTGAGAGTTGTGAATCCGAGGTTCATCCCGTTACAAGCTGACAGAAGAAGAAGCAGGATATATAGCAGCTACTTTCTTTTTACTTCAGAAAGGTATGTATATGGAACATATATAGTATTCATTTTCAAACATTAGCAATATAGCAGTTTTTCAAAATATTTGAACATTTTCTCTCAACTGAAAAATCTAAGACTTTAAATTACTCCCAAGGTTAATAAGACTTGAGATATAATCTTTTTTTCTTTTAACTTGTCTTATTTTTATTTAAAGACCAGATTAGCTGAAAATGAGGAAAAATCTATACAATAAAAATAAAGTTAAGTAATAATGCACCACAGAAATGTACAGATGGAGCAAATTAGTTAAGAAGAAGAGAATAAAAACCTGACTCTACGACAGCAGAAGGGCAGAGCAGCAGGTGAGCTCCAGTGACTAAAATTGCAGGGCTCCTGTATCCCTGACCAAATATATTTCATGCTTTTGATCAGTTCATAAAACTGGAAATACATGACAAGAAGGACTTCTTTCCCAGTTGCTAAAACTGAACACTTTTAGGAGCAACACGGAGATACTCAAGCATTGTGACTATTTAGTTCTCTCTGTTACGCTTTTTCTCTGAGCAGCCTTGTAGTCGTCTGCAACTAAAACAATTTAAAATTGTTTGCTTTCATCGTCATCATTAGAATCTTGTTTCTGAACTCAGTCCAGTATTTTTCTTATCTCTGCATGTGGCACCATAAATGCTGGGTCCAGGAGCCCTTCACTGACTGTTTGGATAGGCTGATTAAGGAGAGAAAGTCTAGTGTAGGTTTCTGGCTTCAACAAAGTGGTGTGTTACGGCTCAGCACACATAAACCATTAAAGAAAGTCTCCCTATGGTTTTAAAAGAAGCTCAATGCTTGTGTTAGATCTTCTCCTGAGGAAAGGAGAGATACCCAAAATACAGTGAAAAAAACAAAGGCTTGCCTGTAAAGGTTGGCCTCAACTTTCTAGGATATAGAATTTTCTTATTGAGTAATAAATCACTGCCATAGCTCCTCTCAAGCTACACACTGCATGAATGTGTTTCCAAAAGATTTCTGAGGATAGAATCCAAGAAGGAGGAAGTTTCTCCTTAAGCAAGGTTACCAGCTCTTATGTTCATCTGGTTTCTAAGATATATCCATCAAATATCCATCTCTAAAGGAAAGGACACTACCCTAAAGAACACTAGAGGAAATAATAAATCAACAGAAAAGATGGAATTTTATAATAATTTTATAATAAATCATAAATACACACAGTAAAGTGATTTTTTTAAATAATGAAGCTAATCATTATATTTTAAGAATTCTATACTTGATAACTTCTACTACAAATTCTGGTTAATTTTTGTTCTGGGCTTTAGTCCCACATGAAAGAGGATTTTTAATAAAGTAAATTCTACCATGTTAAATCCAGAAATAAGCCAGTCAGAAGAAAAGAAGATTACAATAGACTAGATAAAGTTCCATTTTTCCTTTATCCTCTAACTTTTATTGGCTTCTTTAGTAGTTTACAAATGAAAAGTATGTGTTAAAATATAACAATCAAACCCGAAATAAATGTTCAGTCTGTATATAAAGCTGTGACCTAGAAAATAAAAAGCATTAGAGTCCAGAACATTCAGATGCCAGGATGAGGCTCAAACAAAGGATTCCTGTAGATATGACATAACTCCTCCAGGTGACTTCTGAGGAGAAAAAGAAGCAAAATCGGCAGCCTTGAATATTTTCAGTTGTTTATATGGGCAATCATGTCAAAATGTGAAAATTGCAATGACTTAACAAAGATCCATGAACATGTTTCTGCTTGGTCACTTAATAGTGAAAATGTTTAGAAGTGTCTAGGTGTTTGAGATTAAGAAAATCTATTTTGTAATTATGTAAAAATTGCCATTCTATGAGTAGTTGGGAGTTTCTATAGTTTTTTTTTTTTTTTTATGTCTGTCCTGCAGAAATTTTACTCTAATGTCTTGCTAGTTAGGTTTTACTTTTCCAGAGATGAAGGAAATCCAAATAGAAATGGACTCAACTATACAATTTAAAAACTAGATGTATGCTGTTTTCTTTCCTTTTTAAGAATCTTTGTACTTAACAAATTTTGTATTTTTATCTAGAAACAATTAATAAAAATGTAAGACTTAAACATTGGAGACAGTACTGTTTGCAAAAGAATTAAAACTATATTTTACTATTTTTTTCCCCCTTAAACTTTTCGGTAGGAAATTAAATACTTATAATTTGGTTTTCAATTCTTTAACCTTATGAATAACAGAATTGGAACAGTTTGCCAAATTCAGACTGCAAATGACCATGAGCTATTTTTCCAGTTTCCTACCAATATTTGGGGGAAATTATGATCATTAAAATTAAACTTTTGTTGCTGTTGATCATTTTTAATTATACTTTTTAAAATTTTGAGGTCACTAGAATCACTTTCAGTTATAAAACGTGATACAGAGAAGTCTCGTGTAATCTTCACTAGTCCTCTCCAATAGTGACGCCTTGAGAGACTTTAGTGTAAATATCATAGTAAGAATATTGGCACAAATAAATGCATTAATATTAGATTTACTCAGTTCTGCTCGTAACTGTTGGAGTACATATTTAGTTCTATGCAATTTTATCAAGTATGTGGGTTTGTGTGTCCAACACCATAGTGACGGTACAGAAAAGTTCCATCAAGTCAGTATTCTTTGTTGGGTCCTTTATCAGCACACTCTGTAGCATCTCATCACTTTTGATTTCTATAGTTTTGTCATTTCAATGATGTTATAAATGCAATCATATACTACGTATGAGAATACTTTTTCACTCAAAATAACTTCCTTGATACTCATCTAAAATGTTATGGTTACAAATAAAAATTTCACTTGCTAATTCTACAACTAATATAGGAAGATAAATGTAATGATTATCTAATCTGTTTTTAGGATAATTAATTTTTTGTTCCATGAATGATTTAGCTTGGCAAAACAAAACCACACAGCTTGCTGAGCTGGCTCAGTTAGTTTCTGGTTAAGTAGTCTGTAAATGGTCTGAGAATGGATGCATTTATATAAAAAGCTCAGCAACACTGATGCCGATGACCCCACTTTGAACAGTACTATTTAGTATTTATAATTGTGTTCATTTCAATTTTAATTTGAATTATTCTATAAGAATTCATTCTCTCTCCCCCATAGCCACAAGTTTAGGGATCCAGGAAAAAAGTGTAATTCAGTCCTCAGGCTTCTCAAGAACTCCTCCTCTATCCCTGGAAGGAAAAGAGACCTAAATTAGATACCAAATTAGTAAATAGAGAAAAGGTAGTTTACAAAAGAGGAAATAAAAATGGTCTATTTAAGTATATGAAAATATTTCCCTACAGAGATCAGAAAATGCAAATTGACAAAAGAAGAGAAAAATATGTAGCCTTAATAACATTGAAGGGTACAGCTCCTTTGATGGGCAAGTTTTCATAACTGTTTAAAAGGTTAAATGTATTTTTTAAACTAGCTGTTGAAACAGCAGACTTTTGCTCTATAAAAAGCCAACTACAGGCCCAACGAGGCATATTATAAAGGGATTTGTTGTAGCTTTTTGAAAAATTAAACATATCTAAATGCACACCAATAAAAATCCAATTAATTGCATTTAACATATTCTTTAAATGAAGTCATTCTTCATGTACTAAAGTAGAAATATTTAAAATGTATTATGTCAAAAATTTGCCACAAGCCGGGTGTGGTGGTACATGCCTGTAATACCAGCACTCAGGAGGCTAAGAGAGGAGGATCGCTGTGAGTTCAAGACCAGCTGGGCTACAGAGTGAGTTCCAGGTCAGTCTCAACTACATAGTGAGACCCTGTCTCAAAAAACAACAACAAAATAAAACAAACAAAAAAATTTTTGCCACAAAGATATAGTATTTATGATATAAATTGTATCAAATAAGAGTCAATGTATTTACAAATTCGCTGTATGCATTAATTATTCCTTAGAACAGCTGTATCAAACCGGGTGTGGTGGCACATGCCTGTAATCCCAACACTAGGGAGGATAAGGCAGGAGGATTGCTGTGAGTTCGAGACCAGCCTGGGCTACATAGTGAGTTCTAGGTCAGTCTCAACTATATAGTGAGACTCTGTCTCAAAAAAAAAAAAAAGGAACAGCTGTATCAGTTGACTGTGATTAACAATAACTAAACTAACATTTCTGAGTATGTATTATGCATGCTTCAGATTGTTCAAAGATTTTTAATTAAAAAATGATAGCTAATAGTTACTGACAGCTAAGTCCCAGCTAAGTCTTACTACTGTAAGCCACTATACATTCCTATAAGGAAGGTATTATTTTTGTTGTGTCTTTTGAGACAGGATCTCACTATGTAGTTGAGACTGACCTGGAACTCACTATGTAGCCCAGGCTGGTCTCAAACTCATAGCGATCCTCCTGCCTCAGTCTCCTGAGTGCTGGGATTACAGGCATGCACCACCATGCCTGGCAGGAAGGTATTATTTTTAAAAATTTATATATCTCATAGAACCCAAGGAGGTACCTAACAATGGGACTTGGAATGCAAAAGAAGCAAGGTAAATCTGGAAATATTAGAAGAAGTAGATTCAGAGCAGAGCTCCAATAACGTGGAGAGCTTGTTTTTGTGCTATGTCAAATTCCTAGAAAAGAGGTTCTGTTAGCTCAAACTGAGGGAGATACATACCCTGTGGATCAGTCAGCAACGCCAAGTGGGGTAGAATCACAAGAGCCAGTCATTGCTTTTGGAGACACTTTTACATCTACTATCTGATCTCTGGGGTGGGTGAAGCTGAGAAAAAGAAAGGGGCAGCAACAAGGTTGTATGTAGGAGAATTCATCCTGATAAGACAAACTCCCGGTAGAGGAAAGCCATGAGTGGGAGTATGGATTCAACTACCATCTAGAAACATTTGCTAAGCACTTGGTTTATCCCTGGCACTTTAGTGCTTTACACAGTGATGCTGTATATAATTTCTAAAGATGTTTTACATAGAATTTTCTTTTTACCCTCAAAATAAGCAGAAGATATAAGTGAAAAATGCAGTGTTTCTTTTTCCCTTTTTACAGATGGAGAAACTCAAGCTGACAAATGGCTCACCTGATAGGCACTTTGAAAGTGGCAGAAAATGGGGACCCTATCCAAAACTTTAATCTCTACACAATATTGTTTCCCTTAATATATTGATGTGAGTATTCAAATCTGGGAAGACACAGATACTAAAGAGAAGATTATTTCACTGAGGAGGAGGTTTATATCCAAGGAGGTAAGTAATGAGGTCTGGGTAAAATTGTTTAGTATGAAATGAGGATGAGAGCAGAAAGAGACTTTATTCAGAAAGAAAGGGCATGTTTATTAATAATATTTATCTAATAAATGATAGTAGAGGATAAAATAGATATTTATAATCTAATTTAGGAACGAATACCTCTATATGAAATAAACAGAGCCATTTTCCCTGATACTATGAAAATGTCAAATTTATAGCAAGATGATAGTCAGTTTCATCAGGATAGCATTAGTTTGGAGATGAAAATTATTGGTACAATAAAGGACTTGATTTTAACATTCTTAAAGAAGGTATCCATAAAGGGTTGCTAAAGACTTAGCTTCATTGTGCATAGACTCACCTGTACCCATCTGTCACATAGAGATTGAATTATAGTAACAAGTGAATGATGAAATTTCTGGGTCAATGTTCTAGTCTCCGCAGCCAAGTGAGTTTTTCATTAGGAAATATTCCCAGTTCTTTTCTCGTGAGGGTAAGGCACTGAAATAAATAATGAGAAGAAGAAATCAGCTAAGTTTTTTTTTTTGCCATTAACAAACTGATTATTGCACCTTGTTTCCCAGATTTAATTTCCAGGTAATTTTATTATGTTACCTATAAATATGTCTCATATATAACAAAGAGATTATCTTAGCAAAACAGAATATTGTCAGTTCCCTTGTCTCTTGTTGCTTTGAGATGAAGGACAGTATTTTACCATTGCAGTTATCAAATCTAAATATAGAAACTGAAATTCAACACACTAGTCACCAAGTGTATTGTGCCTTCCTGCTGAATTATCGGTGGTGTAGGTCTCTGTGATAAATGTTATGTTGATTTAATATATTAGCTCACTCACTCCTTATTGAAAAATATCTTTTTCTGTTTTTGTGGTTCTAAAGACTCTTTCATACCTTCAGGATCTGGAAAGGGGAAAAAGCAAGTCACAGAACAAGGTCTCATTCACTGGTGCTTGGTTAGTGTCTGCACAGGAGAACACAGAGCTGAACAGCAATCAGTTGAGAATTGTTGCATCTGCCCAGAGGAGGGGAAAATGGGGAGAATGGTAGACTGAGAAGGGGCTATTTTTTTTTCTAAATATGTCTATGTGGTTTGAATCTTTTACAACAATAAAATGTTCATCTACAACTTGTACGATTCATTTGTTTCTTTGTTTGCTTGCTTGTTTGTACAGGGGATTGAACTCAGTACCCTGCGCTTGCAAAGAAGGCATGGTGCCTCTGAGCTAAATCCATGCCCCAACTTGTGTGATTTTATTTTATTTTATGGGTACTGGGGATTGAACTCAGGTCCTTGTGCTTGCAAGGCAGGTCAACGAACTGCTGAGCTAAATCCCCGGCCCATGTGATTTTAAAAAGACAAGAAAATCTTTATTTATTGAGAAATAGAACCTTTTATTCACAATCCTGATTAAAGGTTAATGTTTTTGTAAACTTTGATTAGTAGTCTTAGTATATAAACTAAATTTCTATCATGATATATTACCCAATAGTTCATTTTTCTAGGCTAGTTTAACTGTTTTACATTTATTGACTTTAAAAGGTTAAAAATATGCAAAAATTTGAGATGTACTAGAAATTTTAACTTTTAGCAATATTACACAGTATCTGTCCAAAAGTTAAGACTATACTAGCAAAAATTCAAAGATACACTTTTCCAGCTTTTCTCAGTACTCTTTGCAAAGTAAAGACATCAAAAAATTTACCATGGAAATCAATCACCAAACTATACAAATAGCTTAAATTTAGGGTTTGGGTATCTAAATAATTTCTCTGTTTTCCTTTCCTTGTATAACTTAATAATCAGGATCAGAAGGATTGTGCAAAGAGAAAAGGCACAGAAGGAAGAGAAAAAAGCACAGAAGAAAGAGAGAAAAGGCATAGAAGGAGACTCTCGAGATATTCTTTTTGGTCTTTTTAATGAATTCAGTGTCCCCTATTTTCACCAGTTTGGAAGGTCCTGGTATGAAGTCCCTACTTATTCTCTGTTATTCTAAATCATTTGAGTAGTCTTGATTTTACAAACTCTCAATTATCACACGTAAGCTTAGTATATTCTCATAATTAATATACTTATATCTTCCAGATCTTTCCTGTAAGATCCAGTTCCTTACCTCCAAATGCAATGTGAACATAGAAGATGCCACATACAGTATTTAGATTTTATGAAAGTAAATTCATCTCCCTCTCCTTAAATCTACTCCATTGTCTACTAGTGCAGTGGTTCTCAACCAGGTATAATTTACCCCCAAGGAACATTTGGTAATATCTGGGAGCACCTGAGGCTAGAGGGGTGCTACTGGTAGATACTGTATATATCCTACATTTTATAAGGTACTCCTTTTACACACACACACACACACACACACACACACACACACACAGAATTTATGTTCCAAAACATCAGTAGGGCCAACTGTGCAGAAAGCCTTAGTTTGCAAATAATGGAGAAATTATAGATTTGCTGATAAACGGGTTAATATCTCAGAAAACAAGAATACTAGTCTATTCTTGAAGCCATCCCCATTCTCTCTCTCTCTCTCTCTCTCTCTCTCTCTCTCTCTCTCTCTCTGCTAAATGGTTACCACTTCCATGGATTCTAGAGACAAATCCACCCTCAAATTGCCATTCTCACTGCCATTACTTCAATAATGCTGTCTCCTGGACAACATCACTCCACATGCCTAGGAACTCTAAAGGTCAAGATTTCCAAGCCAAGGAGAGAGGTAAAGATCAGATTCACATTCAGAATTTCAAGGGAACCACCTGTAACAACACCTTGATTTTGTACCTTCAGCTTCTAGAACTGGAAGATAATAAATTTCTATGATCCAGGACATTCAATTTTGGGTGCTGGTTGAGGTAGTTCTTAAGGAACTACTACTTCAGTCCACATAATCAATAGAAGGATTTAAATTATGTTCTGTGGCGAATGAGTCAAGGCACCATCAAAATTCTACCCTGGGAATAATTTGCTTAGAAAGCTGATACCTGTATAGCTAAGTGGAGGCACATTGAGGCCGTATACTTAAGGAAATAAACAGGACACATATAAATACCAAATAGTTTCTCTGGTATAACTGAAAGTGTAAATGAGGATCAAAATGTAAAATAGATAATATGAAATTGGGAGAAAAGGTCCAAAGGGGTAGGGGAAAGGAAAAGATATGAAGGAAAAAAACAGAAACAAAGTATTTGTAAATATGGAGTGGTGGAGGGGTTGAAGGAAAGGCAAGGAAATGGGAAAAAAATATGAAACAAGATATATCATGTAAAGGTAAAAATTTCCAATGATGAATGTCATCATATTGTATACCTAAATGTACTAATAAATTTAATGAATGAAAAACAAAAAACCCCAACAACAACAGGAGAAAAGAAAGCCGACACCTAGTGCACTGCTAGCCCTCTAGGGACACCGCTGGTACGACTGGACTCCACGCTTGACCTTCACTGCTCATCACTGGAGCATTAGCTCAGCCCAGACACCATCCAACACTTTCCTGTGACTTCCTTCCCTCGAGTTGGGTGGCATTGTTCTCTTAGAAACACCTACTATATAATTAGAGAGGCTCAGTGGAATTATGGCATCTCTCATCCTAGAAATATTCATAATTTCAAGACAGCAAAACAGAGTGCTAAACCGAGAATACTACATTTCTACACATGATCCACACACCCGTGATGATGGCCCTGGCTTTTAGCTATGCTCAGTGACACTCAACAGACTTCACAGGAGTTCTGCCCACTCCTTTCTGTCTTTGTAATGGAAAATATGGCCTTCTCTCCCATTTATTCTTGAGTTCTTCTAAAATGAGAAAATGATCAATAGACCGGGGATTTAGTTCAGCGGTACTGACGCCTGCCTCACAACTGCAAGGTCCCGAGTTCAATCCCTAGTACCAAAAAAAAAAAAAAAAAAAAAAAAAAAAAAAATCAAAGTTTTATAATGAAATGATATATGATTTAGCACGAATCTACTTATGTTTCAGAGTACTGTACTGTGATTGACTATTTTTTTCCTTCATGCTAAACTGTGAAACATCAAAGGGCAATTGGACAAGAGGGCTCTTCTTTCCACATGGCCAGCACTTTAAATCAGAGAAGACTCACATAATAATATAAAAATTATCATTTAAAATATGTATAAGAAATAGTGATGCTTTCATTTTATATCTGCAATTTGACATCTGGAACAGTCTTTTGTGCCCAGTGGATTAAAGATGCTATAATTGATTAAAATGTAAACAATTGGGTAGGCTTTTTAAAATGTCAGCTATTTTAAGGAAAATCAATTTCTAAGAATCTTCTTTCTTTCCTACCAACTAATATAGGACCATGTTTTGTGACAGCCCCCAAATGACTTCATGTACTCATCTAGTTTTTGTTCCAGTTAACTAGGCAGTCCAACCTCTGGAAAGATTGGATCTCAAGACAGTAAACTCTCCACATTCTCTTTTGAAAGATAAACATGTACTTCATAAACGTCATTGGCCTAAACAACAGAAACATCTGTTTAGACTCATGTGCAGCTTTTTGGCCGAGTTCAGCAACAGGGAGGCTGAGGAAGTGTGCTCTTCAGCTGTGTTATGAAGCACCCACATATCAGTGCTGGTCCCAGTGATGCACTGTAGATATAACCAAGCATGGGAATAACTAAACTGGATAGCAATCCATAAACAATGTTTGGCAATGCTACTACATTCCCCTCACATCCCACGGTTTTGTCTTCCATGAGAAAAATAATTAACAGTATAAATAAGTATGAAATTTAAAAGGTTGCTAAATGAGTGATAGAATGAGATTATTCGAATGGACCTAACTATAAAGTTATAGAACCGAGCTCCCAAATATTATTTATTCACCAGTGTCTCTAATCAATCTTTACCAGATTAAAAGTAAAACAACATTATTCTCTTCCAGTGACAAGTAACATCTGAAATGTCATCCTTAGAACTCTATTCCTGGGAGTCCAATGACTCAATAGTGAGGGCAGGACTACCAGTAACTACTAAAGGGCAGGTCCTGTGTGAAAATTCAGCAGATGTGTTAGTGCTCCCCAAAGCACTACAACGTAGATGTCATTATGCTCATTTGGTGAAAGAGGGAACCAAAATTCAGAGAGTCAACAAATAAGAATATAAAACTAGAAAATTATATTTCTTGAATTTTTACTTTTCTTGATACTGATATTTACTATGACCTATAAACTTGTCTTTTAAATTTCAAGTATAAGATGTCTTCTATATTTGCTCTGTTTAAATGATATACAATTTGCCAGAAATTAAGTTATCAGATAAATTTTTCATGCTATAGTTCATCAATTTCATTGAAGAGTTTAAACAGGAGTGGCAGTAATTCCTCTCTAAGTGCCTTGTATAATTCAGCAGTGAAGCCACCAGGACCAGGAGTTTTCTTAGTTGGTGAGTCTTTAATGACATTTTAAATTTTATTGATTGATATTGAGTTGTTTAGAAATTTTAGGTCATCTTTGTTCAACTTCGGTAATTCATATATATCTAGGAATCTGTGCATTTCATCTATATTTTCTACCTGATTGGCCCATAGCTTCTCAAAGTAGATACTGATGATCCTCTGGGTTTCTGCTGGGTCCACTGTAATTTCACACTTTCCATTCTTAATTGCATAGATTTAGACCTTTTCTTTCCTTTTTTTAATAAGATTTGCTAAGGGTTTACCAATTTCATTTATTCTTTCAAGGAACCAACTCTTGGCTTCATTGATTTATTGTATTCCTCTCTTAGTCTCCACTGCATTAATTTCTATCCTGATCTTTATAATTTCCTCCCTCGTATGAGCTTTGGGTTTGTCCTGCTCTTTTTTTTTTTTTTTTTTTTTTTTGCTCACTCTGTTTTCCTAATATGATTATTCACTGCTATGAATTTCCCTCATAAGACTGCTTTCATTGTGTCATATAGATTGTTATATGTTGCATTGTCATTGTCATTTAATTGTAGGAACTGTCTGGTTTCTTCTTTTAATTTCCTCTGTGACTCAGTTATTCAGAAGTGTGTTTTCCATTTCC